TTGTTTGAGGTCGACCAGGCTGATAGGCGATAGATTGAAAGTTGAAGGGATTGGGGTTCTCGGACCCGCTCATAGAGGGCGCGTCGAGATCCATGGTTCCACTGGCAGCACTCGCCGGTGTCTGTGGAAAGGTCGCGCTCGCGGGTGTATACAGAGTCGCCGGGGACGCCCTCTGCGAAACTGAGTCACTGGGCCCGAGAGTCGCATACTGCTTCGAGGGAAACGTAGCCGACATGGGCGACAGCAGCGCATTGTTGTTAGGCCCCATATCGCCCATAGCCAGATCGCTTCGGAATCCTAGTCCTACGGGCTGGGGCGCGTTCTCGTCAGGAGGCGGCGTTGGGGTCCGTGGTGGAGCTGGCAGCGGCATTTTCGAGGCCATGACGGTGGTAAATGAGTGACGGTAATGAGTGACGGTTAGCGAAAGCGCAATCCAGGCTTAACGAGATAACCAGCGCAGTTGAACCCCGGACGGGAGGTGGAGGGGAAATTGAGGGAGGCCTTCTGTATGCGGCGGCCCATACTCGGTGAATCGACCAATCCGGCCCCGACTAGCCCGCATGCAAGGGAACGCTACCCTTGGTACCCTAGAGCGCAACATGACGCTGACGTTGACGGTCTGGCTCCGAAACATGACACTTGATTCACCACCTCGGTCCTCCATGGCTGTTGACGCACGTGGGAACCATGCCAGACGGAAACGATGCGCGCAATGAGGGGCGTGCTGAGGCAGCGGATGTGAAGCACGAGGCGGACGGCGCGTCTAGCCATAGACGCAGCAAGTCGGGAGGCATACTGGGCGCCTTTCTCAGGTCCTCCATGGATGCCATGGGGAAGGCGCCATCGACACAACTAGGCAACGACGAGGAGCACGATCAGGATGCGGAAGGTGCGAAGAGAGCGTCCTCCATCGCGACTGCCCTGCGCCAGAGCCAAGGGAGGCAGCGAAAGGGATCCCTTAGGAAAGCCGCCATGGCCAAGATGCGTGAACGGAGCAGCTCTCTGCGCAAGGCCAAAACACCCACAATCACCACCACCACGAGCTTAGACCCCTCGGACGAAGGCTCGGCTCCAGGCCGCTTCAGCTACGAAAACGCTCCCCTCAACTCTTCGTCCGACAGTGGATGGCTACCCGCTGCCCGTCTGTCCCCGTCGTCACCCGCGCTTATTTACACCCCACCCGATGGCCCTGAACGGCCTGCTCCTTCACTACTTGCATCACCCATGACGAGCCCGGTCGCGCCTTACGCTTCGACTACCGACGAAGACGACACCATGTCCTTCTATCGCCCCTCTCCCGCCGGCAATGACTTCTCCTTCAGTGGTGCCAACCAGGGCTCTGCGACATCTCTTGCACACCGCCGTTCAACTCGGAGCAACCGACGCACTTCCATCTCGGCAGTCCTGACACCTGCCGAGGCTGACCCCGATGACGAGTGGGATTACAGCGAGACGGAGTGGTGGGGCTGGGTCGTGCTCATAGCAACGTGGATTGTTTTCGTCGTCGGCATGGGCTCTTGCCTCGGAATCTGGAGCTGGGCTTGGGACGTGGGCGAGACGCCGTATGCTCCACCCGATTTGGAAGACGACGCAACCCTGCCCATTACGGGCTACTATCCCGCATTGATCGTTTGCACGGCAGTCACGAGCTGGGTGTGGGTTGTCGTGGCCTGGGTTGGCATGAAGTATTTCCGCCACGCCAAAGTAGGCGTAGACGGCTAGTAGCCTCCAGAAGCAACGCACCAAAATAATCACCCACCACCGATCGCATGAACGTACCAAGGTCCTGGGAACGCCTTCTCTATTCTAGTGCTTTCGCTTAAGCGTTCCGCCATGCGCAATATCTTCTTGGGCTGAAACACTAAGCTATAATACCTCTGTTAAGACACATCATAGCCTCGCTATACCGCACTCTACGGTAATACAATTACTTCTTCTGCTATTGTTTCTTCGATACTCGCCCTAATAACTGCAGCTACCATCTCAAATATTGGAACGGCTGACAGAACAGCTGACAGTTTTGGCAGAATAAAAGCTGACGATGCCGCTTCTTTCCCGCATTGCTTGTCGTGATTCAGCGGCTTGGACCACAATCTCCGCGCCCGGCTCCTCCTCTCCACCACAATCCTGCGACCCCGTCACTCGGTAACCAGGGCCGTACTGAACATGGTGCGAACACCTCGACGACACGGTATCACCCTGCAACCTCCGATCCTGCAGGACCTGCAGCGCGGGAGCCAGGGTCCCACATGTTGGTGCAATTTTGACAGTAGTGTAAGATGAAGGCAATTTCCCTGTCCAGGCGACTTCATAAACAAAATGGTCGCCAACATGTGGCTGATAGGAGCAGATTGTATTATGCAATTGGTCTGTGATGGCCGCACCACAACGTCGTCGGGGAGGTTCCATGCTGGAGGAGCTACTACCAAGTTTACTCATCCTCAAGGGCCTGGAGTCTGGGGATATCTCGAAGAAAGACGCCGAGCTCAGTCGCGCGCTTCACGGGGTACAGCATGAACGGCGGCCGAGAACGATACCGCCCCGGAGGCCTCGTCGCGTTTCCAACGCAGTGGTGACGCAACGCATCACCAACGGCAGGCCCTTTCGCTTCTTCGAACTACCGCAGGAGATTCGGGATGAAGTCTACGCACACCTCGTCGTGCGCAGGACATCGCGCTCTCTACCCATCCTCGACGCAACGACGATACTCAATGACCGGAAGAAACGCCTGGCCGCACTCAAGTCACGGGAACGGCTGAACCAACGGCGACTTTCAACAGGAAAACGCCCAGTATGTCCACGTACAGCCGAGACAGAGCCACTCCTTCATCTGGAACTCCTCCGAGCATCTCAGAGATTGGCCGACGAAGCAACAGACTGCATGTACACGAACAACTGGTTTGCCATCTCTCTCAACAAACTCCCCGTTCCCACCTACGACATCCCACACGGCTGGGACCTTTCACGCGTCAAACGACTGCAAGTTGAACTCCAGCTCAAAGATGCCATACGAATGAACCGCTACGTCGACTGGGCGTCTTTCTTCTCTGCCCTTCCATCACTACAGTTCCTCCGCATTGTCCCAACCCTCCATCCCCGGTACTACGAATGGTCGCATCCAGAATTCCATGAGTGGTCCACCACGCCATTCGTCCACAAGGCCTTCTTCCGAGAACTATTAGCCGCGATACCGGCTTATGTAGATCTTAAGATCGGCCTTGCGGTGGACGACACGGGCGATGACGTGCAGATGCAGGGAGAAGTTCTTCTGCATCGGAAGTATCTTTGGGACATGTATGCGGAGTTGGGTAATAGAGTTGATGGCGCGGGGAGGCGGATCGCAGTGGAGAGGATTGTATCATAGCATGATGATGACGGAGTGTGTTGCATTTACGAAAAGCGTTCTGTATATTATGGGTCTTTATCTACTGTTGTTTGGGAGCCTTGGCTTTGCTTTTTTGGTGTTCTTCAAGCGCATGCATTGGTCAACTTTGTCTGTTGGGTACGTCATTGCATAGTTGTTGAATAGTGTGGTTTTAGTGCCAGCGAGAAGCTGGACACATACGTCTTGTTTATCCAGTTTTCGTTGTAAATGAAAGGCATACGAGTTCTTACACACATCGAAGTCCTTTGCAGCTTTTCGAAGCGAACTCCAACCATGCAAGATTCGTAGCAGAGTTTAAGAAAGAAGAGTGGAATATAGTGGGAGGATGCGCCGCAGCAGAGTGCGTGACGAAGATTTTATGTGCGCATCACGACCGATGAGCAAGCATACTACAGGAGAGATCCATTCCCAGGAACTGAGGATAGGCCGTGGAGAAAACTCGACTCTTCCACTCCATGTACAGTTCATTCGATCGTTTTTGGTGTCTCTCATTACGAACTAGGTCATCGTTTTTGAAATATTAGCCCCAAGATGTGGGTTTTGAAAGGAGACGCGGAACACACATACGCATTCTCTGAACGAGTTTTGGAGACCCAGGAGCCGCACCCATTAATCAATGGCACAGCGATTTTGATAAAAAGAAGGAAAGTGGTGTGGTGTCAGGAAGACAGAGTGCTGCAAGACGAGGGGTATTTATATGCCTAGCAACTGAAAGCCGATCTCGCTGTCCCATGATTTGGATGATGCTGTACGGCAGACACATCGGAGGTAGATCTCTGAATTTGGACGACTTTCCATAATCTTCCTTCATCGTGACTTCGTTTCCCGATTTTCGATGTGGTCAACTCACATGCGCAACATGCAACCTCTTTTGCTCCGCGCGACCATATCCATGACCATCGTGATTTTTGCTTTGGTGGGAGTCGGGGCAAGCTAGCAATGCGCTTGTTGACATGTAGCTTCTGGACAGCGGACTCAACATCCGCTACCTGCCATACCTTTTTGGAGAATACGAAGGAAGTATGATGATGAAGAAGAAGCGGAGGGAAGGCATGTGTTGGAGACTTTATAGCCCTTAAGTCTGTCATGCGCATGATGGCGTGGACCCCGGAAGTTGACAATGGCTCGCTGATCTTGCGAAGTATCAGCCAAAAATGACTTCTACAGTACACATTCATCTCTTTCCCTCCTCCTCACCTCAAAGTTCATCATCGGATCTACAACCTTGTAAACCCCCATCTCCAAAGGCTTCGAGACATACCCCTCCTTCACTCTGATATCATACTTGTCCAGCACGTGCGCCATCGCCATCTTCAATTCGTTACTTGCGAAAAACCTCCCCGGGCAAATATGTCTCCCACCTCCAAACACGCTATAATCAGGACCTGATTGCACGAATTGGCTGAACTTGTCGCCGGCTTCGCGCTTTCGAAGGAAGCGGTCTGCGACGAAAGAGTCGGGGTTGGAGTAGTGCGCGGGAGAGAAGAGCGAGGTGGAGTCGACCATTATGTGTGTGCCTCGCGGGAGTGTATGTCCGGTTGGGAGTTTGACGTCTTTCAAAGCGACGCGCTCCAGGGCGACTTTTCGACATGTTAGCTCTTCCTTCCTATCCGTATTATCCAGAGCGTCGTATGGAAGTATAGATGAAGGGAGGGGAATAGATACCTGCGGCCGCACTCCTTCTCTGACTCTCTTTCAGTACACTATCCATCAGCACCATCCCATTTGTCGCAGCGACTGAGACACCGTGCTTAGCAATCTGCTGCTGTGACTCTTCGCGCAACGGCGCGATAACGTCCGGATGCGATGCCACATCGATCAGAACCTGCCTAAACAGCTCACTCGTGGTGAACATAGCCGCCATCCCAAGCGACAGTTGCAAATCGCCCGCCTCCGCTTCTTTGCCTCCTGGAGCAGCCTGCGTCCACGCAAGTGCATCGTTCCAAACGGGTATATCCCTGCCTTCTGCCTTCGCCCCTTCAACTCGGCGTTTTCGATCCGCGAGGACGTCTTTCATGATTTGCCTCGCGCGGGCGACGTGTTTCCGGCATGCAGATGCACTGGGTGAGAAGAATCGCTGGATAATGCGTCGCGACCATGCTGGATACGCATGCAATTCGCCTACCGCAGAGAAATATGCCATGACATATCCCTGCACAAGCTTCAACCACTCCTCGTCCTCACACTTCTCCGGTCCAACAAAAACCGACGAAGCAGCGCGCGCGATTATGACCGTGGTATCGGCATGCCAGTTCAGCATCCGCCACTCCCTCTCTTCACCCCAGTGCGCACGCAATGCACTAACCAACTTTTCGCTCAGAACAGGCATAACACTGTCATTCTGCCCTAGTTTCGTCTTGATGATGTCCAGCAACATATCCCCAGACGCGTGCAACACATCCTGAGCTTCGAAACCGGGATATCCTGCGTAGAAGTCTTGACGCACTAAGTCCCTGTGATCTAAGTCTCGGTTCGATTTGACGAAGTTGGTCAGGGAAGCTGGGAGGACAACTTTGTAGGCGTTGGGGAGGGCGAGGGCGAAGGGGCGTGCCGGGTGGGTGGTGAGGCCGGTGGTTATTAGGGCGGAGGCATTGGTGACGTAGTCTTGGTTGGCTTTTCGCCCGAAGAGATCGTTTGCGTGGGTGTTTATTACGGGGAAGGATGGGCGGCGCCGGTGGTTCTGGATGTAGATGTAGACGCCGCTGAGGAGGGCAAATAGGGTCCAGATGCGGATGTCGTGGAGGATATCTACTATCATCTTTGGAAGCCGCAAGTGTTGGACTAGTCGATTTTGGAATTGACTACATGCCTGTTGGATCCTTTCGATCTTGAACGTTTGCTTTTATATTTGGTCACGACCGGATCTTGGCCGATTAGCGCGTAATGACTCATTGTGTATCATCCTGAGTGTGTAAACAATCACGCATATACAGGGGCGACTGGAGTCTGGTATCTATTACGACCAGTCATTGACGTAGTTCTGCGTGGCTTGCCGCTCCTGCGAAGTATCAGCCAAGAATGATTTTCACGGGCTCCGTGCAATTTGCCTCCCAGACGACTTTTGGTACACGCCCAGCTGCTTTCCGATACGCGATCTCGCCCTTACGTTCAATCCAAAGAACATTGTAGAAATGATATTCCCAGCCAGATGTGCTTTGCACCCCGTATTTCTTCACTTCGCTTATCAGTTCTAGGGATCGTTTAGCACTGGACTCCTTAAGTTTTGCTTGTGGAGGCTGCATCAATATCCTCAGACTATATCCCACTTACCCAGATATTCAGAAGAGCATTTTTTATCAATCTTTGATGTCATATCCTGTTTGAACAAAGGCCCGCTATCACCTCCAATGTTCCGGAGGTGTTCCGACCGTATAGTCCCGGTCGACAAAGCGATCAGCTCAAGCGCGTCGCCGGGCTCAGCCCTATCACGGTTCATATGGCGCAGTACGCCTGCTTGGTTCCCTCTTTTGTCTTCAAGGCATATGAGATGACACATGTCAGAGTCTGCTGGCTCACCAGCAAATTGACGAAGTTCGAATACCGATGGACCCATCCAGCAAGGACCAATACCAGCAGGGCTCCTTTTTTTGAGGACAGCTTTGAGACGGAGTGAAGCCGTACTTGTTTTGCATGAGAGGAATGGCCAGTCTCTTCGAAGTTGCAACGCAGAACGTGAAGCTTGGTAAGAAGATACGGACAAACGGTGCGAGCTTGGGGCCGTGTTTGTATCTACAGGTCCAGAACTTTTGCCTTCTCTCCATGATTCGTATTTGCTTTGATGAAACGATCGTTGTGTGCCAGTGAACATAGCACTTTTATCGAGAGCAGATTCTGGGCGCATGATGAGAGAATCAAATTCGTCAACGCGCCACGTGTGCTGCATATCTTCGGACAAAGCATACCACTGCACAAGTCTGTGTGTTTGCCAAGTTGATGGAGTAGGATTGGTCGTATGTTTCCCGGAAGAGTCTTCCTTCAAGTAGTCAAACCTCGAACGGAGGTTGTGAGGATCTACTGGGCATTGCCAACCGCACCATGACCATGATGGTAGACCTCTTCTTGGTGCGATACTACCTCCATCCCTGGCCACTCTACGACTCGCTATACTGTAGGGCTGCCATAATAGTGCGAGATCTAGGAATGTACAGGGAAGGCCATTGATGAAACCAGAAGTGAAGGTACGCTTCAGTGTACTTAACACTCCAGATATCGCCGGTAGCGCGTCTTGCGGGTAAGTCAGGTCGCGACTGTTATACAAGCTAATCATCTCGATGTACATGTTGAGATCTGGCTGAGACATGGTAGACATTCGCCGAGCGGTCTCATAGTACGGTCTGGTCAATGTAGTATCCGGAGCAGATTTTGGGGTGAGGTAGTCCCTATTCCAGACGCATCTCTGGCAATCCCAGAATACTTCTCCGTCAAGGAAGATAATTACTCTCTTGGAGAGCATTTGTTCTTGGAAGGTCCATCCACGAGAGGCCCACTTGGTCTTGAAAAGCTTCTCATAAAGTTGGGTAGTAGAGTCCAGGCTACGACATCTTGTGGATTTGCGGGTATTTAGGCGTCCCGCAGTGGTAGCAGCAATTATAGTTAGGTATGCGCCAGCGTATACCTCACCCATATTGTCGACCTGATCGCGTGTTTTGTCACCGTCCTGCACAATACATAGGCAATCAACCCAAAGGTATCTTTCCCCGTACTTCTGCACAAGAACAATCGCGTCTTTCACTGCATAGGGAAGACGTGCGAGTGCATCCCCTTGTAGATAGCCCCGCTCTTGAAACTGGGTCAGACTTTTCTGTGTTAGCATTAGTCTCTCCGCTGTGGATACATCGGTACTCGTATCTGGGGCGACCCACACATAGCTCAGAGCTATGTATCTTGATGCGGTACGACCGGGTACTAGACAGCCTTCCGCTGTGTCAATGACCCAATCCGGAATCTGGTGAGGCAGTCGGTGCTCGATCGGTGATGATGCGCAGTCCTTGCCATGGTCTTGGTTGCATGAGTTTTGCCAGTACGCGAGATATCGAGCATCGACCTCGAGACCGCTGTGATCCGTAGAGCGCTCCAGAAGCCTTCCATCACCGAGTAGTATGTCCACAATATGGAGATTCTCGCGCTCGACTGCCCACATGAGCGGCGTGATACCGCAATCATCTTTCGAATTCACGTTCACATCATTGGTGCCTAGTAACGCCTTCACGCTTGATTCGCTTCCGACTCGTACTGCATGGGACAGTGGAGATCGACCGGTCGACTTTTCCTTTGCCTCTACATCCACTTGCCCTGTTTCAAGTAGCAAGGTGACGAGTTCCTTGCATCCACCTCCAATAGCCCACCAAAGGGCTGTGTAGCCTTGCTCATCCCGAGAGGCAGGATTTACCTTCCCAGTTTGCAACAAACCCAGCGGTATTGTAAGATCTCGAGTCTCTGCTCGTGCAGCCCATAATAGCGGGGTACGGCCACTTGTATCTCTCGACTCTGGGTCAACCCTTTCGTTGTCAAGCAACGTTCTCACGATCGTATTGTATCCCTTGCCTGCAGCGTACGACAGAGGCGTTCGACCGTTGTCATCTCGAGAGTCGGGATCTACCCTGTTGCTTGAGAGAAGCTTTTCAACGATCGTGTTGGCTCCCGTTTCCGCAGCGTACGACAGAGGCGTTCGACCTTTGTTATCTCGAGAATCTGGATCTACTCTGTCGGTCTCGAGAAGCATCTTTACAATTGCTTCGGCCCGATAGTCCACTCCATGCACAGCATACGACAAAGGCGTGCGTCCTTTCGCATCACGCGAATCTGGATCCACCTTGCGGCTATCCAGGAAAGTCTTTACAACCGTTGCGGATGCATTGCTTGTGGCGAATGATAGCAAGGTTCGGCCTGGTTCCTTTTCATCTCGTTCGTCCGGTCTCAGATGGTTGCTTTCAAGCAGTTCCCGCAACACAGTGTTGTCGTCACACCGACCATGTGCTATACTCTTCAATTGTTGCTGGGCATCTCTTTTGCTGTTCACAATCCCCATCTTCACTATTGATCGCTCTTCTCTTGCATGTCTTTCGCACGGCAGTCGCGCGACCGTCCAGTGATCTCAATCCAGTCTTCTCCGTGTCGTGCGGCTTATCGTGGATTTGGTGGTGGTAATCTTCAACTCCGGTCACGGGCGTCGGCGGTGAATAGGGAACAAGGCTGGTGATAGCACCAGACAAGCTTGGCGGAATCGGAGCGGACCCGCTTAACTCTTGTGTTCCTGTTGCAAGCTGTCAGCGGAAAGTGCTTACATGCGTTGACACAGCCGGCATATTGTTATTGGCTTACTCATAAAAGTGCCAAGCTATGCGCATCGCACGCGCCTCGGGCCTTGCGCCTGCCGTCAGTATGGGTTACCTAGTCTTTGACTTCGCGCGACCGTTCGCGCCTGGCACCAGCATCCTACGACTTCCACTGAGTGCCACTTGCCCTTGCTCCAGCTGGAAAAGACCGTGCCTGGAAGCGAAGGATCATTTGACTTGCAGACGCTGTTAGGTAGAGTAGAAGAATTGTCGCGATCCTGAGCTCGGGGGCTGAGTATCAGCCCCGGCGCTAGATGGTAGCGGCAGCCCTGGAGCTAACCTCGGGATACTTCCCGACGCGTCCGATAGGTGAACGCCGATCAGGTGGACCTGAACGTCGAGGGAAGCAGGAGTACTGCTGAACAACCAGACAAGATATATCATGGCAATTCTGTGATAGAACGCTGATAGAACCCACTGACCACGCAGTGAAGTAAGCTGACGCTAAGCTCCCAGTAGTAATGTCTCAACGGTCAGATCTGTGTCCTGCCCCACGCGTCTGAACAACTACAACACACCTTCGGACTCGTCACCATGCGCATACACGTGTTTGATGCCGCGAGCAAGCACGCGAGCTTCTTTGCACCGCGTAGGCGCCTGTCGACATTGCCCAACATCCCGTCGTATCTGCATCCCTCAGCTGTACGCATATCGTCGCGCCGGCCCTCGGTACATGCAATCGCGTTGCGAACTGAGCGACCGGCAACTACCACAACCAGCATTCCTTCTCGCCAATACCACCCCAATTTTCCTCCAAGCGTCACCTCTAGTCCATCGCCACCAACATCTTCGTTCGCCGACCTAAGAGTAACATTTCAAGTATTTCACTGATAGCATTGCAGGTACACCACGGCTTTCGCGCTCTTCGAGGCTTTGTGGGAGGTGAGTCCACATTGCTGCCACATGCGCATACGCGACTTTGAAAACATCATAACCACTAACAGTTGCTCTAGGCCGGCATCACCGTCTGTTTCGTCAATGTGGGCTCAGACCATCCGTCCATCATCGAAGCCATCGTCAAGGGCAAGAGAGAGCGGCCAGACAAATGGCCCCGGTTCATAACCTGCCCATCCGAGATAACAGCTATTTCGATGGCAGATGGCTACGCGAGGATATCTGGCCGGGCGCAAGCTGTCGTAGTTCATGTCGACGTGGGCACGCAAGCGCTTGGACAGGGCCTACACAATGCAAGCGTCGGGCGGGCGCCTGTGTTCATCTTCGCCGGATTGTGTCCCTATACTGAGGCTGGGGAGATGACGGGGTCGCGGACAGAGTATATGCACTGGCTGCAGGAAGCGCCTGACCAGAAAGCTATCGTTCGCCAATATTGCAGATATACTGGCGAGATCCGGACAGGGCTCAACGTCAAGCAGACCGTTGCACGTGCGCTGCAGTTTGCAAACAGCGGACCCAAAGGACCAGTCTATGTTGCAAGCGCACGAGAAACACTTGCGGAGGTAATCGAGGAGCCTTACCGGTTGGATCAGGAACAGTGGAAAGCCGTCGGTTCCAGTGCTCTGCCAGCTGATGCGGTTGAAGAGGCAAGTTCTACATCTATGCGCTTATAAGACATCTTACTTACGTGATATGTTTACTCTTTAGGTAGCACAGGCCTTGGTGGGGAGCAAGCGCCCACTGATAATCACAGGATACTCAGGAAGAGATAGGCGTTGCCCCGAACAACTGGTCGCTCTCGCAGATCTCATCCCTGGCTTGCGAGTGCATGACACTGGAGGCAGCGACCTCTGCTTCCCTTTCTCACACCCGGCTTCGCAAGGCTTCCGTCTTAGCACCGATGAATGCACACGCGATACTGACATGATCTTACTCCTCGACTGCGACGTCCCTTGGATTCCATCAGTAAATCCGCCACCGAGAGGCACGCGCATATACCAGATCGACATCGATCCTCTGAACGAACGCATACCAGTATCCTTCTTCCCAGCGCATGGACGGTGGAGAGCTGAATGTTATACTGCATTGAAGCAAGTTGTTTCTCACATCACGACATCTCCCTTAAGTGGGACGCTTCAACAGCCTTCACTCCTGGAACGCAAAAGGGTTCTTGCAGATAGCCATGAGAAGAAACTCGTTGAAATCGCGGCACGATGTCACTTGGGCGACGAGCAATCTCTTGACGCGAGCAACATCGGCCATCTTCTTAAGCAAACTCTTCCGGATACTACGGTATTCGTGGTTGAGGCTGTGACATGCGGGCAGCTTCTTTCTGATCAGATTCAGGCCGATACACCTGGCAGTTGGATCAATTGCGGTGCAACTGGTATTGGCTGGAGTAATGGCGCAGCACTAGGTGTCAAGATGGCCACAGACGACGCGGCCGTCACTACGAATGTTGCGCATAAGCCGACGCTCATTTGCCAGATTGTTGGAGACGGTAGCTTCATGTGCGCGGCACCTTCGAGCGCGTTGTGGGTCGGTGCCAAGTACAAAATCCCCATCCTCACAATTGTACTCAACAACGGTGGTAGGTCTGCTATCGAACACTTGCAATACGTGCGCTGACATTCTCAACAGGCTTCAAGGCTCCAAAGAACTCAACCGCCTTGGTGTATCCTGATGGATTGAATCAGGGAGCGACTGATGATGAGATGAATATCTCCTTCAGGCCATCTCCAAACTATGCAGCACTCGCAGAAGCAGCGGCTGGAAGCCAGAGTTCGAACGCCTCGACGCTGGATCTGGATCAGTGGATGGAAGGCGTACGGGTAGATTCAGTAGGATCGTTGAGGAACGAGCTTGGCAAAGTCTCACAGCGAGTGCTGGAGGCGAAAAAAGGCATGCTGATAGAGGCTATAATTGCCTAGTAAGTCGGACTGGATGCGATAGGTGGGATGGGCTATGACTCTTCAAAATCCCACGCCTAGCCTGGCTTTTATGTCTGCGTGTCGGGTGGCCAATTATATTGGTTTCCACGTGTCAACGGTATGTATTGATCGGCTACCAATAAGCCTGAGCGCGTTTCACCGCCCCTGCTCGTTGATATGCTGTTTTCGAGTGCCCACTTCATGCATGTCCTCTTACTGCGTCCTGGCGCATACGAGCAAGATACAGGGCTTTTAGTTAAACAGAAGTAGTTAATGATAGCTACAATTAGGTATCGACGGCATAGTTGACACTGATCTCCATAAAAAGCACTTCGCTAGGAACTGAACCCATGGTTATCACATTCGGTGACGCTTCCACTGCTGCCGAAGTGGCCCTGGTATTGCAACGACACTGGAGAGCTTCCGTTACCTGTTCCAAAAGCGAGCGATTTCAGTAAATGAGGTTCGCACAATTAAGCAAACGCCATTATAAAAAGATACCGCACACATCGATTGTACGGCATGCGTGCGCGAGAGCAGCACATTGATACCTCTGCAAAGCGTTTTGGAAGACGAGAGCTGAGCTCCGGTGTGGATATTGAAGATATCATCGCTGCAGCGCCTAAGAATAACCGTATCTTTAGATACCGCGTCATTCGAGATCATCGAATGTTTCCTGATATCTTTAAATCGATTTTGACAAGCCTCTCCCGGGCAAACACATCCACCGATTCAGGCTATGTTTTTGACCAAGTGCTACGTTGTCGAAGTCTCAAGGAAAATACATGTCCATGTCCTGGGGTTCTTTCAGCAGCGGAAGTCCGCAACATGTGGTTTCCGTTGTCACTTTTGGAAGAATGGACTCACTCATCGCGTTGAGGAGCGCAGATTTTGGTTTTGGTAACAGGTGAAGAGTGTATGAGGAAAGAAGCTGAGGGCCAGAAGAGAGGTACCTAATTTATACATGTTGCCGGGTAGCGAGCAGCTCTCACATGCCCACGCGGTCGCCTTGTTTCAAACTGTTGAGTAGCTCAACGAACAAGTCGTTTTCGTAACATCAACTAAGCCCGTAATTGTTTTAAAGGTTGCGCCAATACACACATACGTTTTTACCGCAGCGCGGAAGCAGAGCAATTCACGGTGCCTCGATCAGTTCAATTCCAGTATGCGACGCGAACGTCGGTGTTTGGAATGCGGAGCGGAGTCTGCACACATGTGCAGCCTGTGTGCCTGCTTCCGGAAGGAGGCGCCCATTTGAAGTATACATAGTTGTTTACAGTGAACAGAGGTCCTTCACCCATGGCATTTTTGCGTATAGTCTTTGGAAAAGGTACTCTCATCGATGAGAATGAATGTCATTTTGAAGAAGAAAGCTGGGATGTAAGAACAATAGAAAGGAAGAAAGGGGAGCAAGCGGATGTAGACTTTGTATCGCAAACCAGGCTTCTTCCTGGGCTTTGGATGATGTGGTCTCCGAGCTTCCCACACATGTCGTTTTCTTTGGTACTTTTCGTAGCGGATGGCCATAGGGAGGTTGTTTCGATGTTTTTGGAGGCCAGACAATCTCTTTTCATGAGAGTGCATATTTTTGGTTTGGAAAAGGAAGTCCCATAGCCACCAGAGAAACAAATTTTGGGAAAACAAGGCAAGGCTTCGGTATGAAAGAGAGAGGTGGAAAGAGCTGGCGAGTTGGGGTTTATATCTCAGGCTAGGCATTCATCCCTTCGGTATATCTTTCGAAATCTCCGTTGTAAAAATATGCACCACATGTTACCGCACATAGGCTACCGGTGTACTTGTTTTGAAGGATTCCCCCCATCAAAGGTCCGGCATCGTGGCGACCGGAGAATCTCCACACATGGGCGCTGGTATCCCCAGTTTTTGGAAAACAGACTTCCATCAACCAGTTTTGTGCCGTCTTGGAGAGATACGCGAAGATTTGTGTGGGAGAAGAAGAGGAGGCAGAGGCAGACTTCATATCTCAATCTATTCCCCAGATTCCTGCATGGAGTGACGTGTGATGGTGTTTCGGAAGACCAGCAGACGTCTCCACACATGGGTGGCTAGTGCGTGAATTTTTAAAAGCAAAAGCTCATGGCGATGTAGAAGTAAGTTTTCGAAGCGGCAGATCTCTCCACATTCCAGTAGAGGTGAGTGTTTTGGAGGAGTAAAGTCTCATGTACCCTTTCGGTATATGTTTTGGATGACTGGAGACTGGCAGTGATGAAAGAGAAAGAGTAGAGGCGAAGAGGGCGTTTACATATACCGATCGGGGGACCAGGCACCCAATCTTTGCTCATCGAGACCTTGCCAAAGACCTTTCGCAGCATTTGTTGATCCGTATACACACTTAGTCCTCTCCCAACATGGCATTAGAGGGACAACTTTTCAGAACGGCCAGTGCAACCCGTAAGAGACAGGTTAAGCGATTTTCGAAGTAGGAAGAGACCAGTGCATGTGTTTGGGCGGCCACAGCTCGTTCTCGCACATCGAAATTGAAGAGGTGAATTTTCGGGAAAGACGAGACACTCTCACATGCGTATAGCATCCACATACTTTGGAAGTGGCAGCGACGGCAGACATTTGCCGGTTCCAATGTTGTTTTGGAGAATATAGCAAGTGTGATAGTTGTAAGAAGAAAGCAGGAAGGCAGCGAGAAGTAAGAGGATTTTATATGCTGCGAGAGCCATTAAGCGCTAGAGATAGTTTTTGTATACTGGGAAGAAGAACTCAACAAAATTTTGGTGTTGTAAAAACCTTTGAACGAAGCACAGGTGCCGCAGCATAAGTTTAGCAGCATGCGGTTTCCAGCTCACAGAAGCTCCATTCTCTTCTCGCTTCGTAGATTTTGTAGAGGGCAGCGGCAGGGGCAAAGACAGCCATGCCCAAGTTGTCTGCTTGTTTCGACATAGGCTACTTGTCTGCTTGTTTTAGGCAAACGCGCCATCATAACTCCCAGTCGAGGTTTTGGAGAAGGCACCCCAGACATGAGCAATGCCTGAGCCATTTTTGGAGAATAAACCAAGAAAGTGTGGATTAAAGGACAGAAGCCAGAGGCTTGAATGAGTGGTCTTTTTACACCGCGAAAGTCATTCCGCTTGTATTGCCATGTTTTGAGATCGAGATCGAGACGGAGGAAGCACGCAACATCGAACCCAGACTTTGGGCTTTGAGAGAAGCGCGAAGTTCGCCGCATATATTCCCTTTAATAGTATTTCAGAGCCACAGACTCTCCATGCCTCGTTGCAATTCATGATTTGATAAAGAGCAACCAGAGAGCCAGGGACAGACATAGTCCTTGTCAACTTTTGCTTTCGAAGTCCATAAATCCAGATCTTCTTCTGGACAGCAGATCATGCCTTGGTTCTCTGAGCCTTTTTGGAAGAGGAGTCTTCTCCATCCAGGAGCTGCCGAGAGGTTTTGCTAGAAGACACCGGAAGTTGTGGAATAAAGGAGACAACTCCAACAGCGAGAATAGGCGACTTTATACCTCCTCGAGAACCATGACAGGCAATGGAGGAGCTTTTCGAGAAGAGCAGGAGAGCGCCGCAACATTTCAAGATTGCCCAAAGGTTTTGTTTTCGTGCCTTGATAATGAACCAGAACGCAGCACCTCGCTCTCCATGCTCAGGTAGAATGCGCTTTTGGTTTTCTCGACCCTTCTCATGCCATAATATCCACGCGCTTTTCGGTATAAGCAAAGTGGTAGAGCGGAACTGGACATTGCAACCAGGACAAGTAATTTTGGTTTTGATATCCAGCGAGAAGGACAGACTCTCAGTCCATCACTGATGATTTTGAAGTTTCTGGACCGCGCAGTCTCTCATGCAAAATTCCCATATTTCTTTTGTATAAAGGCGCAGTCGCAGAGCAGAAGCCGACATGGGTTGGTGGCAATGATGTTTTGGATATTCTTTTCGAAAGGTAGTTGGTTTTGAGCGGGCGGCCTCTCACATAAATCATTGGAACCTGAGTTTTGGAGAAAAGGTCTTGCTCCATATGTCGACTTATGGTAGGTTTTGGAGAAAAAAGAAGGAAGTGTTGAATGAAGAAGTCAGATCCAGAAGGCAGAGGAGGGTTTTATATACCCGTAAAGCGAGTAGGCACACGTGATGCAACTCCATAGCTCCGCAGTCTCGACAGGCGATAATTGCTCACATGACAAACACACCAATGCGAGACGTCAGATAAGATGAAGTAGTAAACGGTAGTAATTGACATTCAGCCCATCTCATGAGCCTACACTACTAAGCAATATAAAACGCCACAGTGAGGTTCGTGTCTTCAAGACACCATCACCAATGCCATGCTAAGATTTCCATCTAAAATAGATATAAAGAAAAAGACATTACACGAATGTTAGGGCCCTCAACCCACCAATTTTCATGATTGTGATACATCATGCTCACCAGCCTTGCTTACATGAAAGTTCTACTCCCTCTTAAACTGCTGCTGAAACCCGCCCTGCTGTGGCGACCCAGGACTCCTATACGGGTTATTATTCGACGGGGCGCGTTGTGGCGCATTGGCGTTGATATCCCATCGCCTCTCGCCCTCCTCCTCTTCTACTTGTGGTGCGCGGGGTCGGCTGCGCGAGCGAGGGGGCGGTACCATAGTCTGGTATGAGTACTCCTCTACCTGTCCTGTCGAGATAGAACTAGGCGATCCGGGTGCAGTGCTGCGAGGCATGGATGGCGGTGGTAGGGGACCACCTGGCGGGGGCGCATATGTGCTTTGGCCGCCGGAGGGTACTACGTGGAGGGGTAGCGGTGGAGGCGGGTTCTGGCGGGGTGTATCGACGGAGACGCGCGAGCCAAACGGCGAGAGTGTTGTGCCGCCTTTTCGCTTTCCGGCGGAACTGGCCTTGCGAAGTAGACCGCGGACTTCGTCGAGATCAGGTCTTTGGTCTGTGCTGGGACGGCCGATGGTGCTGGAGTCGTCGCCACGAGCTTCCCAGGTATCGTCGCGGATGGTGTCTAGGCCGGGCTTCCTGTTGTTGAGCGCGGTGATCGCGTTGCCTTCGGTTCCGACGCCCAAGTAGTCAGTGCCAGAAGTCCTGCCGGTGTCCTCTTCCTTGGGGTTGAGTGGGCGGAGACGGCCAGCATCGGCGCTGGCCTTGTATTTCTCGTACGCTGCGACAGCTTCGGCGGGTGGAACTGCGACGGACCACGTAGGCTTGTCTTGCGAGCCCAGAGCAGCGTCGCCTCCAGCCGGACCGTTGATCGGGACCTTGCGCAAAGCGACGACGAGTGCGCACATGAACTTGGACCGGCGAGAAGCGCGAAGTGATTCGTTGGACCAGTTACTCTTGTGGCGGATCTCGACACGAAGCTCTAGCTTGTTCATCTCAGCAATGCTGACAACCTCAATGTCGATATCAGAGTGGAACTCGCGGGCATTAGCCGGATCGCGAACGAAGCTCATCATTTCCATCTTGAGCAGATTAATGTCCTCGAATGAGGTGCCGAAATCGCAGAATACCGAAACTTGTTCTCGCATGGCCTTGCTTCGTGTGATGTTCTCCACCCACAGCGAGTTCAGAACAATGTTGGGTATCTGGACAGTTTTTCCGTTGGTGACACGCTTGAACACGGTGTAGAGTAGGGCAATGTGTTCGACAGTAAGCTGTTCGGTGGTGATGTCGACACGGTCGCCGATATCGTACGGGTGCTTGACGAAGAGGAAGATGCAGGAACCGAGGACCTCCTGGGCGGTGGTCGCGAATACGAAGGATAGCGATAGGAGGGCGGTCGCGGATGTAGCGAGAGTGGTACGGAAAGCCGGAGCGAGGAAGGCGACGAAGACGAAGATGCAGACAATGACCGCGATAGTCATGATGAGACCGTCGAGGGCGTTGATAGCTTGGTCGACATCGTGCATACTGGAGTTGATGGACTTGCGCTGTCTGGCGTAGTCAGTCACAGTCAAGATCATCTCTTCCAAACTGATGTCGCCATTTCCGTCGCGGTCAATTGCAGCGAAGCACTCTTCCGCCTCTTCCTGGCGGCCAGGGCCCATGACTTCGACAAGATCCTCCAGGTACAGCTCGTTCTTGCCTTCGACGACCATAGACATCCAGATACGCCTAGCCAAAGCCTCGGCACTCTTGTTCCTCTCCAAAGCAGTCAAGACGACGGAGTGCGCAGAGTTGGGGTCGAAGACTTTCTTGCCAGTAATCTCAGAAGCGATGGTACCAAAGACGGATGTGATTTTATCACCAATGCGACCAGCATCTCGGCCAACTTCTTGGATGAGACGCATGGGAGTGCGACTGCCTGAACGACCATGCTTAGCCGTACCCTTGCCCTTGCTGCCGAATCCGAGATCTAGAATTGTGTCCTGGATGATGTAATCTTCCTCGGCGAACTCGTTGCAGTAGGCGGGGAATAGCGCTCGCGAAGTGTCGTAGAGGATACCGAGGAGGTAGATGTTGCGCTTTGACTCCTTGATCTTGTCATCAAACTGCTTGCGGTGGTAGCTAATACTGATGAGCTGGATCAGGACGCGTTCGGCGAGGATTATGATGGTGCAGACGAGGAGAGCAAGCAGAACGGACTGCATGGTGCCAATCCATCCTGGATAGTTCTCGCCAGTCCTGCCAGCAACAGGTCGAATAAGCTACATGGAATTAGTGGCTGTTCGTTCAAATAACTTGTCTGAACTTACTGCAGGGAACGTAGCCTGGTTGACAATCATCCAGAAAACGAAGGACAGAGGCTTCTCGAGAGCTCTCAAAAGCAGCGCATATTTCTTGACACCAGGGCTGACCACACCGATGAGAAATTCGAAGATGTTGGGAAGGAAGTGGGCCACAATCTTCATGACCCAGAAACTAAGCCAGATGATCTCGATCCAGATCCAGAACTTCTTCTGGCCTGTGCCGCCGATTGATCCTGTGATTGTGCCGGTTTGCGAGAGAATGATGGGAATGGCCAGTAGCAGCGCGACTGGAGCGACGTAGATCATGTAGCGCGTGACGATGCTCCAGTTGAGGATCTTGGTGTAGATCCTGCCCATGCGATTGAGAGCCGTCTTCTCTTCATGGGGGCGGGGAGGCAATGGCGCTCCTGTTCTGGAGTCCACCGGCGCCAGAGCCACCTTCCTGCGTCCCCGCGAGAACATGTGTGACTTCTCGGACTTCTCATTGCCGGACGTAGGCGACGATTGCGTGGGGGTGTGACTGACGACAGTCTGGAGGGGGATATCGCCGCGGTTCTCCATGTTTCCGTTGTCGAGAGGCTGGAAACCGTGGTTGGAGAGTCGAAAGGACCTCTGAGAGGAGGCTCGTTTGCTTGTCATGTAAAGGAAATCTAGTAGTTGTTCGTGGGTGCCGATTCGTCACTGCGAACGCGCAGGCGGGGTATTGTGGGTATTGTGAAAGGGAATGCAGATCCCGGAGTGTTTTGCCAAAACGAAGCTGGCGGAAGAGTGTGCGTCGAGCACTTCCTTTTTGAGAGCCGTTTGAACGAGTAGTACAATAGAGACGTGTAACGACAGCGATTGAACGAAGGCCTGCCGTCGGTTCTCTGTGCAAGGTAAGGAAACAATGAGATAGAGGAACGAGCGAAGAGGCTCTCGGGACACAATAGCAGAAAAGGCAGGGTGGGAGAGCGAGTGAAGAAAAGTAGCAGTGCAAGGAGTTACTTTGACGAACAACGCCGCGCGCCGGTCCCCAGACCATGCTAGCTGGATGCAGGGAGGGGGTAGCGGGAAAAGCCACATGCCACTGAAACCGCTAGCTACTCGCCACAGCGAATCACCGAGGGGAAATATCGTCACCGCTGGCTGCACATAAAACTGCCTGGCCATGCTCTAATTACCGTTGTTCTGCACACATCGGACAGGCCGTTGAGCAGCGACTTGTGTATCGTCGTTGGTGAGGATGTGGTTTTGGTTGAGCCTCATGCAGCGATGAGCATGATTCACCCGATCGGCCATCCCTGTCGTTGATCGGTTCTTGTTGGGTTCTGGCCAAAATACCCGGTGCAGATGCAGGTACACGCGCATCGATACGCCCCAACAGAGAGAAAAATTGTGTCCAGCTCGTACAATCGCGATCGCGTCGCAGCATTGCCGGCTGTTCATTCGGGACGGCCGTCGAGAGATTCAGCCGATGAAAAAAGCAACTAATCCCTTCGCAGACCGCGGAAACCACGATGGTGATGTCGCATGTCTACCATAGGTCCACAGCTCGCCTATTTCCGAGAATCCTGGTGGAGATACCCCAAATCGAGAAACTGTCCACGTAATCCATTCCCCCCTGTTGAGGCTTGCATCGTGCCTGCCCAGGGCTGTTTCAGCCACACGCATCACACATGTCAGGCACATTTGGCCGTTGAATGGCTGCGAACCCTGTGGCGGTGAGATGAGCCTTTCTTCTCAGGAGTCGACGATGATGATGGCATTTGTACCAGCGTGTCTACTGCATTACTGACAGCTGTCCGTCAAACGCGAGACGGAAGGGGGCTATTCTTAGCTGTTGCGGATCCGCGGCGAAGCTTCTTATGATCAACCACTAGATGTCCCCACAGCCAGGGTCCAAACAGAACCGTCGTTGATGCTAACATGTTAGGGCTCCAGAGTTTGTGTTTACATTCACGATCGATACGACGAATGGGGGCCTTCACGATGACGTCGATTTTACGGGTGCGACATCCACGAGTTTCAGCCATCGATCAACATGGCCATGACGTTGTGCTGATCACCATAACAGCACTGAACACAGCATTGCACAAGCACCCGGAGGCTCTTCAAAGATCTCCAAACTATACACGGACCCATTTATGAGTCGCATCAATGATTCAGGCATAATGAAAGATGATCTGTCTAGCTATTCCCACAAAGCGCAATACCAGCCACAACACAAAAACCCCAATTCCACATCGTCGCACTGACCAAATCATCGACATTCAGCACCCCAACACCCAGCCCCATCAACGTCTCCCAAATCTCATCCCTTTTCCCGATCGGCCAGCTCGGAGTACCCCAGTACCTACTCTTCAATCCCTTCGCCTCCGCTGCTTCGATTTGCTGCTTGACTACTCCAACCTGTTCTGACGACATACTTGCGAACCACAGCTTGCCTACTGCGTCGCTGAGGGCGGCGGATGCGTAGTAAGAGTTTGTGGTATTGTATTGGTTGTCCGAGACAGAGAGCAGCGGTGCGTCGAAGAAGATGTACCGATTTGCCATGGACTGAATGAGATCGAAGGGGGCGTTTCCAGTGCCCACAATGGTGAGTGGGCCTGTGTGGAGCACCGAGCCGTCGTAGTATGTCAACCAGTCTTTGGAGCGAAGGGGAGCGAGTTGCGAGAGGAGGACTGGCCATGTTGCTGCCGGGTCGGATTTGAAGTCTATAAGTAGGACGGTTGTTGCGCTTGAATCCTTGTCGAAGACACCGGTCTTTCTGTCTGGCTTTGAGGCCGTTGTCGCGTTTCGCCGTTCGAGGATGTTCAGAAGTGGGTCGATGTATAAGCTCTTCAGCGTTCGGTCGCTGGTCGTAGACTCCCAGGAATGACTGACTCGCAGTTCGCCATCTTCTGTTAACCAGATATCTGCTTCAATACTGGTACATCCCGCCGCGAGGGCAGCATAGAGGGGAACAGAGCGCCAGTAATCGTTGTGGGAGTGGCAGCTCTTGGGTACAATGTCACGACTGAAGTCATCTCTCCAGTCGAATTGGAATGCCTTGGCTGCTTGCGGCTCTTGCCAGGTATCGACGATGTGCTGGAGGCCACTGTTCTTGGGGGAAGGAGCGAGCCGCTTTAGCAGTATAGACACGAATGTGATATAAACACTGATGTATGTTAGTCCCACTTCGCGACTGACTGGATCGCCTTACCCTCCAGCAATAGCACCGAAGATGGTCAAGATAACAACAATGATCCCGAACCAAAGAACACAACGTCTTCTCCGTTGCTTTCGGTGGGCTTCGGTTTCACCAGGTCGACGCGATAATAACCCGCACCAGTTCAATCTCTTCCACCAATGCTGCGATGCAGTACGTCGATGTACTTGCCGCTGAAGCTCTAGCTCCTCCAGACTCATCGGACTAGACATTTGACTGACAGCATCGTTCTCATCATCGCGATACGTTCGTGTGGTAGTATCGCCGCGAGCCATGTCTGTACGGAAAGGCTGTAGTTCTATTGCAATGTCTGCTGTCGACATGAAATGACTGCGCAATGGTCAGACACAACACGGAAGAAGGAGATACTTGTGAGACCGTATAACCAAGTTGATGTATAGGCTTGGCTTGTGGGTAGCACCCGTGCGATGAGCAAACAAGTACAGTGTAGAGTTGCACCAGCCGACCCAGCGCTAATCAAACAAGGCAAACCACGATAGGGTCTCACCTCATCTGGAAGTTACTAGTTTGATGATGAGAAGAATTGGGAACCCCGTTTTTCACTCACCTTTGCCGTCAATCACTCTTTTGCTCCAAACTCGTTGTCCCACGCTCTAGCATTGCACCTTCACCCCGAACAATCACTCTTTCATATACACGTCGCCCTTCACTCCGCCCTGACTCAACACCATCCAAATACATCTGCCTAATCGTGAGTAGACAAGGAGCCCTCGCACAGCATGACACTTACGTCTAAGGCTTTCCGCGAGGCACTTACTTTCGCATCTATCTGCTCCACCAAACCACATCATCGCGGCCTAGATTAGCAGTTCCCTAGTACCGCTTTGGGACAATGAACCGTCAGTTTGGGACCAAGCGCCATCACCATCACTTACGCCCCGTGAGATCATTCGTAAGCCTTCACATCTACACCTCTACTCATACAATGAGATACCGCCGTGACGAAGGGCAGAAGGGCCTACGACGCGCGGCACTCTCTACTGCAGATGTATTGGATGAACTATCTATTGCAGGCGCCTTGAACTGAGGTCCGACCGGTTACACAACCGCGAATATGCTTCATCCGGAAGCAAATGCCAGAACTATAATGGATGAAAGGGGGAATGTAGACTATGTTGTCGTCGTCATCATGGCATGAACTCAGGTTCGCTCTGATAGGTGTCCTCGGTAACCAAGCGCGCGGATACGACCAACCGCGGATAGTGGGGACATGCCCAGGTGGTGAAGTTTGTGTCATCCATCTAAGCCTCCAGCACGGTTCCTTGCAGAAAGCTTCGCACGTAAGACCCGTATCGTTTGCTTGTACTGTAAATAGTTACCGCGCGCAGGTGTGATGGGTTGGGTCGTTTACCGAACTCGGTGCTGGTATGCGATTCGTTCCAGTGGTTAAATGCTGTTGTTCCTTCAGTGTGTCTTGTTAAGGCTTGACCTCTTCATCGTCCCTAGATTGTATGCTACGACGCCGGCGGTATGGTATGATGTTGCCTGGCTACATCACCTCGCATGCCGATATTGTTGATGGCACGATGGTGATGCAGGTAGGACGGCACTACTTACGCGGCCGGGCAACCACGCCGCCAAGGCAACAACGAAAGTGTTCCAACAGCAAAGATGCCGTCCAGAAAAAGAATCGAAAGGCGGGAGAGGCGCACTCGTCCATATGCGATGCACGACTACCTAACGCCCTGCACGATCTTCGCATGTGAAAGTCCGCAAGTTCCGCAAATCAATCCGAAGACCCCAGCAAAGAAAAAAAGACACTGCACATGCGCGCGCCTGCAAACCTCCGCTCCGCCCACAAACCCTCAACACCTACCACCTACCCACCAACCACCAACCCACACCCAACCATCCCTCGCAACCCGGATAAACACCCGCAGCCCGCGCGCAACCTTGCGCGAGGGGTCTTAGAGCCCCACGCGTATTGTTGCCAGCGAGGCTGCGGACGGCTCACATGCACCTGTCTCCTCTCAGTCTTAACCCCTTGCAGGCTAGTTTCTGTGGGGTTCTTGCATGTTGACAGGAGGCCCGATGGGAAGGAAGTGAGCTATCTTCAACCGAGCAGATCACGCACGGCAACACACCGACATTCACGGACGATTTTCACGAGATGGTCTCCTGCTGTTTTTGCCATTGCTTTGGGTTTTTGGACGGGGAGAGTGGTGGTGTGAAAGCGCGACGTGTGATGATGTGGGAAGATGTGACGGACAGACCACTTTTGTCGCTTCTTCTTCCTCTTTGTTGACATTATCGTCGAGGTCTTTCCACAATTTCATTTTGTCCTAGACTAAGATTGGGGTATCTTAACCTAGTGGGTTTGGCATGTATGCACGCGGTATGCCAACTCACCACACCGACTCTTTTTCACCCGCCGTCAACAGATCAACAATAAACAGCAGCAGGGACCCAGCCTCGTTTATTTTTTTCCCCATCGTTCGCTACACTTAAAGCAAGCTTCAATATCGCGTTGTTTATAAATCACATACTTAACGTTTATTTCGCATTATATACCCTTTATTTTCTTCGCTTTGTTATTTTGGCGGGAAGATTGAGAGCATCCGAGCTTCACGATAATAAACGATCACGAAACGAACGGCCGTCACGGATATACACAACAAAGAAATTGGGAACCCCGCGTTCTACTACTTACTCACCTCCCTCTACTACGGAAATCACCAACACTCCGCAACACCTCAACAACTCACACACACAATGGGCAAGGATTCCTCATTCCGCCTCTGCATAGCCTCGCTCCTCATTATCCAAATCGCCTGCTGGGCCCTCACACTGCTCGATCTCTACCACCCTGGCAAGCCCACAGCTATGCTCCGCACTACGATGGACCTGGCCTCGCTTTATTTCACGAGGTTAGGAGGCCAGAGTAGCGCTGCGTTGCAGCATTTAAGTGTGAGAGACATTACAGCGTTGGTCTACTGAGATGACGGGCATGGAGGGCACACCTCTGCCCATCGCAATATCAACGACGCGAACGATGCCACTTGCGCAGAATTTCTTTCACCAATGATCGGAGAGAGACCAGGGATGCAAGAGGGCGTTCACGACATAACGACTTTCACGACATGAGGATGATACTATGGCATGGCATGGCATGATACCAACGGCGTTTACTGGATTTGGGAGTACCGGCGCATGGCTTCATCTTCTCCCGTTCAACCCGGTTATCGCGCCGTCGAAACACCAACACAACCAAACACAGCTCCCACAGTACAGCTGACCACCCACCGCTGCCCCACCCCAAACCCAGCCTCACAACCACATACCGTACCGGCACACATAACTGCTCCAAGGACCGCAGCCATTAAAGTCTTGTTACCCTAGTACGCATTTCGTCACAGCAAAACGACACGATGTCTGAATTTAACAAATCCACAATTTCTAGGGCTTTGGAAGGCTCTAGAACTTGTGGATTTGTTAAGCTCAGACAACGTTGCCGTTACGTCACGGCTTGCATACTAGGGTAATACCACTTTAAAGGCTAGGTTCTCACAGGCCGTTAAGTCAAGGTGTGAAGGAAGCATGACGATGGACAGCAGGAAATATGTTGTGGGCTGGAAGAAAACGAAGGGAAACCGCACGCGCAGGTCGTGGTGCAAGGAGTTAATTTGAGCTTTGCTTTGTTCTTTATATTTGATATGAATACCCCATTTCCATCAAACTACATATTTCACTCCACAGTACATGCTCAACATACTCCACTCAAGATGATCTTGTGATAAAATGCATTCTCTTTCCATGACATCTAGCTCAACAGACAGGCTTTCACTTGCCCATGCGCATGATCCCAGCAATTTCATCCCAGAAAAGTAAAAGACCTTCCCACGCGCCCGATGAACCCACGGAACCCGAGATAACCGAAACACAGAATAGACACTAAGATCCTGTAGCGATTGTTCAACTCCCATGCGCCCCGTTTGCGCCGTTTGTTTGAGTTGATTTGATAAACACCGATTCGAATGCATGTTGATATGAAGATCGAGACAAAGGAAATGGGTCATGTTGTTGTGATGGAAGGATTTCACTGCGTGGCTTGGTGGTTCAGCTCGTGCATCATGCTTACTTCGCCGAGGTGCTTCTGGTCGAAGTGCGAGGGGGAGTGGTCGTCTGAGACGAGTTGAATGGGCGGCGCGGGGCTAATTTCGTCATCGTCGTTTGAGTGGGTGTCCTGCGTCTTTGGTGTCTCTTCACTCGGCCTGAGCGTCGTTGTGCTTTCAGCTAGCGGGTCAGATGTCTGGCTCTCTGCAGCTGTTGGAGCTTCAGGCGCTTTGCCGTTCGCAGTCGTAGCTTTTTCTTCGGTATGCGTCTCGCCCACGTCCTCGATATATTGAGGCTTGTTCTCGTTCTTGTTGTCGTCTTCGGGGGTGATCGCCTTTGTAAGACTTTGGAAGTTGAACATTGGCTCCGTGCTATTCGAATCCTGTGGAGGAGTATCGGTGTCGCCTTGGGCTAAGCTGATGCCTGATGCGTTTGAACTAGGCACGAAAGAAGAGCCAGGTGCGAGGTTTTGGTTCTCCTGCTGTTGTAGTGAGTTTTGGAATGAGTCGGCGAACGACGACGAGGACGAAGAGGCGTTGGATTTATTGCGCTCGAGATGAGAAGGAGCTGGATTGCTGGTGTCAGATTTCTCTCGCTGAATCTGTGCGCGACTAGCTTCGAGGTGTTTCTGCGGGTCGTCCTTGTTAGCCGGCGTGTTCAAAGTCGATGTCGGTTCCGACATGGGGTTGAAGCCACCGGCGCCACCAGATCGATCAACTCCCTTGCCTTTCCCAGCCGCCGAAGAGCTGCCCGCTTCCGTTTCGTCGATGCCATCAATCTCGATGGGGTGGAAGCCACTGCCGATGTTCCGTTGGGCTTTGGCAACTTTCTTGATTTCCTTGGCCTTCTTCTTACCCTCCTTTTTGGCTTCTTTGGCGGCGTCCTTCTCTTCCCTCTTCTTGCGATCTTCCTCGGCTGCCAGACTCAGGCGTATTGCTTCCATCATCATAAGCTCCTCGAGGTCGTCAATCCTGTTCCCTCTCCTAGAGCTTATTCGGCTGGGATAAAGGTCGCCCGAGTTTCCTGGTTGACCAGACGAGCTTTCACCTTCACGCCTGGGTGTTCCGTGTCCACTGCTACCAGCGCTGTCGGTAGTGAAGATTCGCCTTCGTCTTCCAAGGCCGAATCGGCTCTCTCCCTGTGGAAGATTTC